ACCTCTTCATCTTGAAAAATGATCTCAGAGAAATTCTTTATCTCCAATTTGTATTGGGTCTGAACAATTAGAAGTGCTCTTAATTTCAAATAGGGCTTGTTGTCCCTACTAACCGCATGTAGTCTATCAAACATTGGTTTTTTTTTTTTTCTCTATTTTTTAAGACCGTGTTTCTCTGTTTTTCAGTATTGTTTTAGCTGGATGAAGTGAAGAAGCAGTTCTAAAGAAATGATGGAGTTATATAGGATTTTACAATTTTTTTTGTAATCCGTTTTCTTTTTGGTTGATTGGTGAATTATTTTATGTAAAAAAATAGTGTATTATTTGCCTACCGCACAATCCGTAATCCGTTTAGTTGATTGGTTAACAATTTCTTTTTTCAATTTTAAACAGAAGATAAACATAATCGCTTGAAAAAAAAAGAAGTTAAATATATTGTTAAAACAAAAATCGATTTTCCCAAATCAAAAGGAACTGGAATTTAGCCGATATGGCAGGAATCTCATCCAAAATAAGGAAAAATTGTATGAAAAAATTTCAAATAAAATTTTATGGGGAAATAAAGGATGTGAGCGGCAAAATGAAAATATTTTTCAAACATTTTTTCTTCTCTCTATTATATAGTAATAGATGAGATTGTTTGTTTGTGAGTAGGTTATTCGTCTTGGTTGTCTATGTAATTCCAAAGAGAGGTGAGTTCAGTTTGTACTGAGTACTTGTGATTTCAGTAGATCTGTACTATCTTTTTAGTTTTATAAAATGCTATCATTTGAGGAAAGAAAATGTAGAAGCATGGCAAAGATCATACATTACAGTAAATCGCTAGTTAATCAAGTTGCTACGGATTAAGAAAATGACAACGACCACATAGTAGAAAAATCAATCTTATGTATAATAATTTCTTCCTCAAAGTAGTATTCAATTTTTTAATTTTACAAAACTGTAAGTTTATTATTCAATTTTTAGAATCATGTTAAATACTTTTTCGAGTAAGAGTAAAATGATTTGTAAAGAATATCCTTAAAATAAAATATTTATTCTTTATAGAGCATTAGAATCAAGCTAGCTCTTAATATAGCTAACTAGTACAGAGCCCGTGCAATGCACGGGGTGCACAATTTTATGGCTATTTATCCAGGCTTATAATTATATACATGAATAAAGAAAAATTTACGGGATACATATAGTACGTGACCCGTGCGAAGCACGGGATATATTTATTTGGAGAATATTATATTATAGGATGCAATATTCAATAAAAATTTATAATACGCAAGAAAATTGTACAATGCTCAATAAAAATTTTATAATATTCAAGTGGAGTCTTAAAGTCTTTTGTACATTAAGACTACTGACAAAATAATAATTTAATCAATGTGTTTCTTTTCCTTATAGCCAAATTGTGAATGTAATTTGAGGAGTACAACAAATCGATATATAACTTACTTGCTTTTTTCATTGTAGTTTTTTTTTTTTTTAATAATGAATTTAAAGATATTCTAAAATATAACAAAAATTAATTTTTTTATTACAATTAGAAATTTTACTAAATATAGACTCTCAATCTATGGTGTTAATCAACGTTTAAGTCTAAAAAACAATAGAGTTATTTTAAGTTTTTTTCTACATCTTTTAAAACATTAAATATGAGCATGTTAGGGCTAGCTTGTAAAACAATTAATATATTATCTCACTAAAACATTTATACTAATAAAAGTTCAATTTTAGCATATAAATTTATCCCTTGATATAAGATAAAGGAACAGTTTTACTTATTGTTGTTCACCATATAATATTTAATTATTATTTTATTATATAATAAAAAAGAAATATTCTTAAATACTGTAGTAGAATTGTTATAAAATTATATGATTTTTTTTTTTACAATATAGATTTAATATTTTTTTTATGATTTGATAATATAAACAAATCTATACTTAACTTTGACAAATAAAACAAATAAATACTTTAGTAAGTATTTAACGTATATACTAAATTAGAATATATTTGGTATAATCAAATACCAAATATAATCAAATAAGTCAAAGTGTATATTTTTATTTGGTATTTGATTTTTTTATATTAAAATATTTTTATTATACTTACCTTTTTAAAATAAAACAAATAAATAAATCAATTAAATAAATAAAATATTATAATACTAAAATAGTAATGGTATTTAATGCAGTTGACTTTTCTAGATATTAAATGTAGTAAATAGGATCTCATTTCATATAAGTATAGATATGATATTATATTATGTTGTTCAAAATAGTAATGCATTTATTGCATTGACTTTTCAACTTACTAAATTTCGTAAATGGTACATCTTATTATATAAGTATAGATTATAAATTATTAGAAATTCCGCTCCGTACATATCTTGAAAGGAAAGAACATATTTCAGTTGTTTAAAAAAAATCTATAAAAGTATAAATAATAAAAAAATACTTTGGACTAGCTTGAAAGGAAAGAACATATTTCAGTTGTTTAAAAAAAATCTTTAAAAGTATAAATAATTAAAAATACTGTGGACTAGCTTATGGATTAATCATATTATTGTTTATAAATATGTGTCTCCATTCTCGATTTAAATCCAATTGTCAAATTTACCACTCATTTAACAAACAAGTAGATAAGACTTACACCCTGAAATTATAAAATAATAAAAAATAGAACAAAGTGAAAGAAAGAAAAATAAAATAATTTAATTATTCTCCATGAAATGCAAAGTAGAAGAAAAACAAAATTTTCAACAATCAATTTGTAAGATTTAGGATTTCTTAGGAACCGCTTAAACATCATTATTGATAACACGAAAACGCATTACTACTCTACTAATAATAATAATAATAATAATAATAATAATAACAATAATAACAATAATAAGCTCACCTGTAATGAAACGAAAAATCAATTTAATTTGTTCAATAGCTCATTATCAAAAAGGTATATGATTTAAAAAAGTATTAAAAAACTGAATAAAAAAACTCCCAATTTAATAAATATGAGACTAATAAAAGGATTTGAAGGGATTTCATAATTTTATTGTTTCTTTGAATTTGCTAATTAATTCATCGGGCTAAATATTAAGAGCCTCTCCAATGCTGCTCCAGATCCATATCTATCGCTGGAGTTGTGTTGAGTTTACCTCTCCAGTACATCTCTACATTTTTGCGCTAGATGAAATATATGAACAGTACATCGCCAGATGTGGCGATGAACTGTAGCTGCGCTATAACCTTTTTTATTTTTTTAAAGTGGTTTATTGCAGGCTTTTTTTATCTTTATTTTTTCATATGTTAATCTAATTTTATAAAAAAATATTTCAATATTTTTTAAAATAAATTAAATTATATAAAAATATATTTTATCAAATTTAAAATACAACTTATAAAAATACTCTATAATAAACATAATTTAAAAATACTGAAAAATTATTTATGATAGAGCAAAATGTGTAATATATTAATATGTGATAAATAGTTTGACAAATAATATGACTATAAATAATTTTTTGTTTTTTTATGCTGTAAACCATATATGGTCTAGTGTGTAAATTTGCACTAATTCATATATGGTCTAAACCATATATGGTCTAGTGTGTAAATTTGCACTAATTCATATATTTTCAAAAGTAACAGTTTTGAATCGGTACATAGATGTATATGTATCTTCTTTAAAAAATTCAATTTATTACAATTCATTTTTAAAATGAATAAAAAAATAATATATTTAATGTAGAGTAAAATGTAGAGATAAGGGCTGGAGATGAATGTTCAACTCTACTCTAGAGTAGAGTAAAGTCCGCGCTAGAATAGAGATAAGGGCTGGAGATGGTCTAAGAGAGAACATATACTTAATTTATATCAAATAATGTATGTACAACTCTTGTACATCCACCCGGGCTGAAGCTCGGATAGACTGCTTTATGCCTCCGCCCCTGCTAACATGGAATATAAGTGTTTTATTTTATGTTTTTCTACTGCAATTATAACAAACCGTTAACATAACAAAAAGAAATATCTATCTTCATTAATAAGATAAGCTTACTAAGCATTTGATTGTGACCGCTTAGACATGATACTAATTGAAAACGATGGAATAAACTAATTAGTTTTGCTATGAAGCTAACAGTTGGCTCCGTAGAGCTAACTTTTTATATACTACAAGTAACTTATTATATTCTCTGATTACTTTCATAATACAAATAATTTTATTAATATGGTATGAGAACTTATTATATTATCTGATTACTTATATAATACAAATAATTTTATTAATATGGTATGATTTACTTATTGTATATAGAAAGTTGGCTTCACTATTGAGTCAACTGTTGATTTCATAGCAAAACTGCTAAATTAATTATGGTTGCACAAATAAAGTTTAGGAGCCCACAAGTGGACGAGTTGCCAATATTGAAAATGTAACATAACATGACTACGTCTTATAAGATAGAACACCATAATTGACGCACATATCTTGAACTCACTCAATTAGTCAATTTACTTCCAACAGTCAACGCCGTAGTTACCTTGCTCGTTGTTTATGACCCTCAGCTTAGTTTTACCATCAATATTCAACTTTACTTTTACCATTAAATAATGCAAGTTTTATTTTTGTAGGTATTTACTCATGTTTTAAAATTATTATCGATATGATATGCGGTTCAATCAATGTTATTAACACATATTTTACTGATTATAATACATATTAATTAAATTTACTATTAACATATAAATAAAGGATAAAAAGAACTTTTTTCTTAATACTAAAATTGATTAAAATTTAATAAGTAAACATATTAAAGTTATGTGTAGAACTTTCAATTTATGTTAAAAAACTCGATACATACATATAAAAAAAAATTACCAATTNAAAACATTATTTAAAGGGTTAAGGAGAGACTGGCTGAAGGAGAGAGACTACCTCCGTCAAATGAAGCAATCAAATTCTATTTTGAGTTTTTTTTTTTCCTTATTTTTTTTTTAAGAAAAAAAATTAGAAATTAATTTTACAGCAACCAAACATTAGACAGAAAATGCTTAGGACAATAATATTTCATATATACTCGCCTAGAAATTACAAAGAAACACCGTGGACTTGTTCTCCACTCTCCAATACGCCCTCAAAACAGGATATGAAACGCGCACAGTATATTATACAGTAAAAACTCAAGAAAATGAACGAGGAATAACAAAAGTGAAAAAAAAATAATCTTTCCATAAATGGGCTGCCTCACAATTTACCCAAATTCATGTATTAATCAAGAAAAGTTCGCAGACACGTAATTCTGAGTTTCTACTTTCTATAGTTAACAGTCCACACACAGTTTTGAAGATATTTTTTGAACAAAAATCGTTCTTCCTTATTTCTTCGTCAGCTGAAATCTGTGTACGAGAACCAAATTCGATTGTCTTTCCCTTACAGTAACAGTTGACTGAAACAAAAAGAGGGTCTTTCGGATTTTATCGTGCTCTGTTTTGTGTGGATTTTGACAATGGCGGGCGAAAAGGAGGGCACGACAAGAACTCTTGAGCAGACCCCGACATGGGCCGTGGCCGGAGTTTGTGCTGTAATTATAGTCATCTCGATTATCTTAGAAAAGGTTCTTCACAAAGTTGGAACGGTAAGAAAAAATTAATTCTTTTGTAACGTTTTTTTATATCTGCTCTTCTTCTCTTCTCGTTGACCAAACTTTTGGAATGAATATTATTTAGCTTCTATTCCTGTTTTGCGTTTACCTTGGTTTGATGTTTATAGTGATTTTTTTTGTTATGCAGTTTTGTTTTGGGTTCATCCCTTGATTAATGGCCTCTATTTGTTATATTTGGCCTAATTAGCTAGTTGTTGTGATGGATTTATGTTATGATATTGATAATATGTGAGATAGCGTTGAATTCTTGTTTGGATTTGGGATCCTCTTGTGCTATTCAAGAACCTCGTGGGTTCATAATTTCAGGGCATGAAAGGTTGGTAGAAAAAAGAACTTGAAGTCCTTAATTGTTTGAATCTTTCTTTCTTTCATAGTTTTTCCTGACCAGCAATTTCTAATTTCATATTAGAACTTAATTGGATTACAATGTATTGAATATGGATGTGTGTTATTTTTCCGAACCTGAAGTCTTAAAAACCCTCTTTTTGTTTGTCTAGGTTTATTCTAGAATATCCATTTCTTTACATTTATTGTACATTGTGATACTAAATTCATACAACATTGCTCAAGTTATATTCAAATCTTTTGTAGTGGCTAACGGATAGGCACAAGAAAGCGCTTTATGAGGCATTGGAGAAGGTCAAAGCCGGTAAATGATTTTGCTTGGTTGTGTCATTTCTTATTGCGAAAGAAGTAAAATATCCTTTGATTTATTTATTTATTTTTTTGGTCGTGGTTAATTTGTTTGCAGAGTTGATGATTCTCGGTTTTATCTCGCTATCACTTGTGTTCAGTCAATATTACATTGCCGAAATCTGCATTCCCGAAAGTGTTGGTAATACAATGTTGCCTTGCCGAAGGAAAGACAATGCTAAGGAAGAACATAGGCGTAGGTTATTGTCATACGAGCGAAGGGTTTTAGCTGGTGGTGGATATGCTACTTGCAAGGAGGTAATTCTTTCTTTCACTATTTTTCTCCTAAAATATCCTTTTCTTGACGTTTTTCCAGTAAAAAGCCCTTCCGGAAAAATGCTTGGTCTATTTTGAACTTCATTTACACTTGGGGGACCAAGGCAATAAATTGTGATACCTTGGGAGGCAATCTTTTTCTTTTTCCTCATTTTCATTTTCATTTTCTTATCCCGGTCTTCATGATGATTGTTGTGGTATGGCTTGTAAACAAAATAGCAAAGGCGTGAACCCACAACTTGATTACCCAAAAGCTTAATCAATAAATTATATGCATTGTTTCTTTTGACGTTTTTTTCCATAAGAAGCCCTTATGGAAATGCTTGATCTATTTTCGGGCACTTTTTTTTTACCAGAATTGGGAATTTAGGAGGTGAATTGGGAACTTCATTGACACTAGGAGGCAAAAGGCAATAACATGTGATACTTTAGTATGGCTTGTAAAAAACAGCGAAGGTTTTGAACTTCATTGTCTTGCTACGTGTTCCTTCCATTTTATTCGTCGCCAGATTTGACGTGTAATTTGATCCTTAAAATGTTGTGGCGAATTGTATGATGTCTTTTTTGCATCACTAATGTGACGTTTTTTTACACAGGGGAGTGTAGCACTTATAACTGTAGACGGGCTGCACCAAATACATATCCTTATATTCTTTTTAGCAGTATTTCACGTTATCTACAGTGCTATAACTATGGCTCTCGGAAGACTCAAGGTACATAATTTAGTTCTGAATATCTAATATACTCTGTAACCTCTACAATAATGTTAGTTTTTCTTTTCTTTTCTTTTATTTTTATTTTGGTTGCATTTATGACTGGTTAACTACACTGCAGATCCGTGGCTGGAAGCAGTGGGAACAGGAGACTTCATCTCAGAATTATGAATTTTCAAACGGTATATGACGTTCTACAATCTTGATTTTGCTGTTTACTAACATATAAAATGTGCATAATGATGATCGATCATAATGTACTTGACAGATCCTTCAAGATTCAGGTTGACTCACGAGACATCTTTTGTGAGGGCACACACTAGTTTCTGGACTCGGATTCCAGTCTTCTTTTATATTGTGAGATTTGTTTTTGGTCTTTTCCCATTATTTTTCATTAAGTGATGGTTATTCCATGTTTATCCTCTTTTTGATGTTTATTGTTTCGTGTTACTTTACAAATCTTTTTTACAGGGATGCTTTTTCCGGCAATTCTTTCGGTCTGTGAGCAAATCTGATTACTTGACCTTGCGCAATGGGTTTATTAGCGTAAGTTCTCTTCATTAAATCTTTTTTTTTTTTACTATTAATAGTAATGTTGTTTTTACGTGAATACCGTACTATTATCTCTAGGTTCATTTGGCACCTGGAAGCAAGTTCGATTTCCAAAAGTACATTAAGAGATCCCTAGAAGATGACTTTAAGACTGTTGTGGGAGTAAGGTATGCTTTATTATTCAAAAATGCATAGTATTATGACTTAGACTTAATCGCCATTTGTAAGTGGATCAGATTATACATTGCTGATTTTGCTTTCGACTTTGTTCCTATGATGGCAGTCCTGTGTTGTGGGGATCATTTGTGGTGTTCTTGCTCTTAAATGTTCAAGGTTAGTCACTGTTTTCTTGATTTCTTTTTTTCTTTTTGAAAAAAAAAAATAAATAAATATAATCTGACGTATTTCTTTACATTGGTCTGCACCAGGATGGCAGACACTTTTTTGGGCATCCTTGATTCCTTTAATTGTAAGATCCTCGACACTGTAATGATTTCAAATATTATTTAAAAAAAAAAGAAAAGAAAAGAAAAAAGCTAATGTTGAAATGTCTTTTTCAGTTAATCTTAGCCGTGGGTACAAAGCTACAAGCTATTTTGACGAAAATGGCCCTTGAGATAACCGAGAGGCATGCAGTAGTCCAGGGCATACCTCTCGTGCAAGGTTCTGACAAATATTTCTGGTTTGGTCGGCCTCAGTTGGTTCTTCATCTTATACACTTTACGTTATTCCAGGTATTTTATGCTCTGTTTAACGATTAACCAAATGCTTAGTTAATAATAAACTGTTATGGCTTTCCTTCAGGATAGTGAAACTTAAAGAGAAATCTGAAAACAGGAAATTTCTGTTTTGTTGGAAAATATCTGTAGTTCACGTGCGGCTTTAATTCATTTGTTGAACAATCTTATTTTTAAGTTTTTGTTAAATGTTAAATGTTGAGAAGGGGACATGACAAGTTATGTTTAGTATCTCGTGTTGAATCTCGTCATTAATGTTCTGATTAATCATGTCCTAAGAAACTGTATTAATGAAAACAAGGATAGTTTAATTCAGCATGATAAAAATATATGGATTTCGAACCCAGATTTCATTTTGTTTGTTCACAGTCAATGGATTTGAAATCCTCAAGCTTTTATTTCAAGTAAATTTGTAAGTTGTCTTGGATCTCATACCCATGTTACATGAAGTGAGCCATTGAGATTCCTAATCCAGTCCTCTCACAAATATTCAACCTAAAAGGAATTTGTCCAATGCCTAACATTTGTTGATACTCATATATATTATTTGAATTTTATAGGTGTACTAATAATTTTTGTTTATCTGCAGAATGCTTTTCAAGTGACATACTTTTTGTGGATTTGGGTAATGATTATCCTCCTTTTCATTTGTATCCATACTATCCATTTCCCTAATTATCATATAATGAGTGATTATTTTCTATTTTCATGCAGTATGAATTTGGTTTACAGTCTTGCTTCCACGACAACTTTGGACTTATAATCGCAAAAATTGGTTTAGGGTAAGTTAAATTCCACTCTTTTCATCAAAAAAAAAAAAAAAGAAAAAAAATGGATTCGTATACACATACATGAAAATTATATAAGGATAAGACTAATTTGTGATTCCATATAAGTTTCCCCTGGTTCGGGTATGAACAAAACATTGTTTTGATGTTGCAGGGTTGGAGTCCTATTCTTATGCAGCTACATTACACTTCCTCTTTACGCCTTAATTGCTCAGGTACTGTATGAAATTGCTCTCTTTGTTGCTGATAACATATAATCGTATGTGGGCAACCTAAACAAGTAATTTCTGTGTCTGCAACACTATCTTATTGTAACAAACAAACCAATTTGGCTGTCACAGTACATGTTGTAGTAAACGGCAAAAAATCAATTTTGGTCTGTTTACTTGTCTAAAGTCCTTTTTTGCTACACTAACTCTCCCCTAATCAATAATAGTACATTATGTTGCAATTTGTATCATTTTTGGGACATTAATCCCAAAAATAACGAGTACATTATGTTGCGATTTCTATCATTATGAGACATTAATCCCAAAAATGGTACGTTATTTTTGGGGATTAATGTCCCAAAAATGATACAAATTGCAACATAATATACTATTTTTGATAAGGGGAAAGTTAGTGTACAGATAAAAGGACTTTACACAAGTAAACGAATTTGAAAATTTTCTTGTAGTAAACTATTAGTTACTATTATTATTTTTATTTCTACTTGTGAAGTTTAACATTTGTTGTTGATTGGATATTATTTAACAGATGGGGTCCAACATGAAGAAATCCATATTTGACGAGCAAACCTCGAAAGCCCTTAAGAAGTGGCACAAGGCCGTGAAGAAGAAGCACGGGCAAGGAGGTCGGTCCCCGGCAAGCCCAACATCCTCAATGGGTTCCCCTTTCCACCCGACCCTCCGCCGTTTCAAAACAACCGGCCACTCGACCCGGTCAATGGGGTTTGACGATGCTTCGGATCTTGAGGAACCAACCACACCTCCCAAGCCAACAACTAGCTTGATCATACGGGCCAACCCCCAGCCCACGGGCCGTGATGGCCATCTCGATGTGGATGACACGAGGGATGAGGATGACTTCTCATTCGCTAAACCGGGGCCCAATAGCATTGCCAAGTGAATAAGGGGTTTAGTAGAGTATTTGTTCATTAGAGTATTCGTCCAGAGAGAATTTGCAATTGTATTCCAAAATATATCACATATGGTATCTGTAGAGGATGAAAAAAATATAACTTTTGATTATGTATTTTTTCAATATAAATTAACACAAATTGTTATATTTTATGAATTATTTAAAAATATCTTGTAACAACCAATAAGAATGGGACAAGTGTTCTATTCCCGTCTACAACCTTAGTGACTGGGTAGTCCAACATTATGATTTTTGGGGTTTTATTTTTTTTATTTATTTATTTTTTGTCTTTTAGACGATGACCCAAGAATCGGGTGAGCGATAAAGAGGCTTATTTGTTTCATGTAATAAGATGAGATTAGATTATGTTGAAATTCAGAAGAGGAGAAGATATTTTGGGGGAAGAATTCCCAATTGATTTTCATAGATTCAGTTTAACGGTAACATTTGTGTATTTTTCTTTTATACAAGAAATTGAAACACGCTTTTAAACTAAAAGACTAACAACTATGCCAGCTAGGATAACCAACAAAGAAAAAAAATACAAAGACCTCACATGTTGAACACATCACATATATTCCTCCTCAAGTGGGATAACAATGAGAACTTTTCAATCCCAACTTGCAAACCATAGACTTGAAAGGAGAACCTCCAAGAGGCTTTGTAAAGCCATCCGCTAGCTGTTGAGAAGATGGAACATGACTAGGAGAAGACCCTCCTTGAACTTGTTCCTCACTAAACCAATCTTCAAATGCTTTGTGCGCTTCGTGAAAGACAGGATTCTCCACAATGTGCAAAGTCGAATGCAGGGACGGATCATTATTAGGTCCGAGCTGGGTTGAAGCCCAGATCTGTTATTTTTTATAACAACTAGTAGTTTGAAAAAAAAAATTATTGTACTTCTAACCCAGTCCAATGAACCAACCTATTAACCCATCAAAATAAATCACTTATCTATTAAGTCCAAATACTACAAATATTACTCTAATAAAATATTATATATTCTTTATCAACAATTTTCACTAGGCACTAACTCACAAAATACCACTATACACCAAACTCCAATCAAATAAATTAGCCACGACCATGCCCCTCCTCTAATAGTAAGTTATTTTAAACCCCCTATTAGATATTTATTTCATTTGTCTAATTATCTTTATCTATCTTCTCATTTTAGTTGAGCTATAATAATTTCTAGAATCATTTGGTTGCAATTCTTGTTTTGTTGATTGTGTATGAAGTAGTAATTGTGTGTGTGTATGTTTGTGTGTTTATTTTAATTTTTTAACCTCTAGTGTGTTTGTTGTATATCATAATTGGATATAAATTTATGATGTGTAGGCATTTTATTTTGGTAATGACTATGTTATATGAAAAATCTATTTAGTTGTATTGTAGAATTTTTAGAAATTCACATGGAGCACCAATTTTCGGCCAAGAAAGGAAAAAATCTATTGATATAATTGTTCTTTAAAAAACTTGATCGACGTCAAACTAGTGAAAGCACATCAAATACGGTGCAAAATAAGCATAATGATTTATTTTTCGTAAAAACTCGTCGAGTACAGCTCCATTAAATATTTGAAGAAAAAAATTAATTTTATTTTTTTATGAAAATGAGTTTAAAATTTTAGCTCAGTCTACTCTTAATTTCTGGATCCGTCCCTGGTCGAATGGTTGTCACATAACAAAGGAATAGGCAGCTACATGTCCTGAGGCACATATACAAACCACTGAAGTTCACAAGTAGTAGAGCTCAGTGCCCTATACTCTGCTTATGCAGAAGACTTTAAAACAGTAGTCAATTTATTGGTCTTCTAAGACACCAAAGAATCACCCATGAAATTACAAAAACCAGTTAAAGATCTTTTATTGCCTGGACAAGCTTTCCAATCAGCATCACAATATGTTGTGATCTTGAAATCAAACAGAATAATGCAAACCAAGTGAAGCAGTTCCCTTCAAGTACCTAAATACATGTATTGCGGCATCCCAATATGAAGAATAAGGGTCATTCACAAATTGAGATAGTTGCTACACAATAAAAGAAATGTCAGGTCTTCTAAGGTTTAAATATAGCAGCCTTCCCACCAATCTCCTGTACAAGTCCATTCCCTCAAGAGGAGTTCTCTCCTTATCCTTCAAAACCAAACCATGAGGAAAGGGATTCATAGTTGTCCTACTATGATCTAACTTCATGTCATGTAACATGTCTAGGGTATATTTCCTCTAATTCAGATAGGTGCCCTTCTCCCCTCTTGCAATCTCAATTCCTAAAAAGAACTTAGCAAAGACTAGGTCCTTAATAGTGAAAACTTTATCGAGATGAACCTTCAAATCCTCTATCAATTTCAGTCTAGGTCCCATAGTGAGCACATCAACATACACTAAAAGTGTAAGGAAATCATCACCACTAGACTTAGTGAACGGACAATGATCATGCTGAGATTAGATAAATCCATAGGATTACAATCTCCACGAAATTCCTGATTTTACTCTCTTGAGACTTGTTTAAGCCCATACAAACTCCTCTTAGGTCTACACACTTAAACCAATTTTGTTCTTTGTATATCCCTATGGACACTCTCTCTCTCTCTCTCTCTATATATATATATATATATATATATATATATATATATCTTTCTTTAAACTTCCATGCAAAAATGCATTATTGATATCAATTTGGCATATTGCCCAAGCTTTAGCTGCACTAATAGCCAAGAAAAATCTCACAGTAACCTGTTTGACCACTGGAGAAAAATAATCCACATAGTCTACACCATAGACTTGTGTATAACTCTTTGCCACCAACCGGACTTTGAGCCTGTCAACAGACCCATCAGCCTTTCTCTTTACCTTATATACCCATTTATTATCAATAGGCCTTTTTTCTAGGTGGCAACTGTACCAATCTCAGCTATCATTCTTTTCAATAGCATCAGGCTCTTGTTGCATTGCCCTAATCCACTCTACATTTGCTTTAGCCTGATTATAAATGTTGGTTCTTGTATAATGGAAACATTATGTAAAAATGCAAGGTATTCAGGTGTATGCTGTGTGGTCTCTGTATGTGAAGCATTAGGTAAATCAGGAATACCTGTGCTCAGAACCTCAGCAGATTGAGTCATGGCAGCAGATGAAAGATGTGTATTAGAGCAGCAGGTCACATAATCATTAAGCCAAAGTGGTCTTGTTTTGTTTCTGATAGGTGTAGTAGACTGAGTAGAAGGGGCTGGTTGAACTATATTTGGGTTGGGGAAAACATGGTTATGATCTTCAGTAACTGAAATATTTGGTAAAGGAATATGTGCTGGATCTTGTTATGGTTCTTTGTGATAATGAAAATTGCCCACTGAAAACTGAACGTCCCTACTAATAATGATCTTCCTTGTGTCCATATTGTATAAATTGTATCCCTTTACCCCAGTCTCAAATCCTAGCAACACACATTTGTAAGATCCAGTGGTAAATTTTGTATTGTGAGAATAGATTTGCTGCAAAAACAAGATAACCAAAAGGTTTCAAGAGTAAGTAATCAGGTGCTTGCTCATACAATATCTCATAGGGTATTTTCCACTTTAAAATTGAATTAGGGACTCTGTTTAAGATAAGAGGAGGACTTATGGAAGCTAAGAGGGAAAAGAGGACCTATGGATTACAAATAAGAAGACCTATTGATATGGGACATGTGTGGGCTATACGAGAAAGATCTAAATGATCATACGGATAGAAACGGGTCTCTGAAAGACCTAGGGTTTGCCAAATAACCGTCGGACAGGCCCTTGGGTAGTTTGGGCACTTGGGCCAGCCTTTGGGCAGTCGGATAGGACAGGGTTTGTTCAATAAGCCAAGAATTCAATATGAATAGGGAAGAGGTATGAAAGATAGGGATTAATGACATTCTATACTCTCAATACCGCTACTTACATTTGCACACAACCGTTCATTTCTCTTTACTGACTTGATCGTCAGGGTTTTTACACCGGGAACACCTCCCGACGTATTTTGCAGGTCAGGGGAGCAAATCGATTGAAGGACTAATGGAAGGCCGGTTCGAGATGCAATAACATATGAGCTGTTATATATTGTTCTATTGACATTATAGCTAATATAATATTAGTACAGTGATCCACTTGTCAATGAGACCTTTATGAATATTTTAATTAGGTCAAGGAAGGTAAATTAAAATTACTTTAGATTTTATTATATATACAAATGACTAAAACATGGACTAATTGACAACTACATTTGATGTTTCACACCAAAAGAGACGTGTGTTCAATATACACAAGGGATATAACCAAATATATAGTAACAAACGTCCATAACACATCTTTTCATGGCCAACATACTCTTTTCAAATACACAAATTTTAATTAAAAATTATTATACTTTCAAAAATAAAAAAAAAAAATAGTATGCCTTATAATTGGATAAGATCGATCCGTTAGATCACACAAATTAATTGAATCAATAACATATGTCCAAAATGATTGTTATAATTATATACGTGTCAATCATTTAAATAAATGAAAAGTAATTAGAGCATGATTTTGAGGCAGAAAATATTTTTTTTTGAGACATTCTTTTTGCAAAGTTTACCAACAAAAAGCTCTATTAATTGGAAAATATTTATTACAGATCGCCATAGAAAACTTTCGTCCTAGATAATTGTTTCAAATTTTTTTTGGAAAATCATAATATTTGGGCCATGGGTAGGTGAAAGGGATAGAAAATAGAGCGTCTATCACATGAGTAACAAGTAACTTCCACGTTTGCAAGAACGTTAATGGTTTTTCTCTAGCTAGCCTTACCAAAATAAATATATAATATATAAATAAATAAATAAGAAACCCTCACGTCTCTCTCCTATAAAAGAGAGAGTATTGGGCTAGGGTTAGTAGCACTAGGAAAAATAATGCATACAAAAGCCTCTCTCAATTATTTCTCTTATATAAGTCCA